TCCACAAACTTCTCTTTGCATCCATACATATGATTGCTTGCTCCATTGTCCAAATACCACGAGTTGCAATCATCTCCGTCTTCTTCCTTGAGTGTCATCAACAACGTTGACTCATTTTCTTCTTTCTTGTCGTCAACAAGGTTAGCCTTTTCCTGCAACATTGCTACGACATTCCCAAGAGTAATGGCCAAACTTATGACAATTATAACATTCAATTTTTGATTTGTCATACCTTTGTCCATTATTTTCTTGGTAGTATTCACGTCCTCTTCCTCCTCTTTGTCCACGACCACGACCTTTCAATGTTTGGTGGATTTTAACCTCATTATTGAAGTTGTTACCGTTACTTATTTCTCTTCCATGACCTCCACAACCTCGGCCTCGTCCTCGATAGCTTGTTTCACCTCCATAATCCTTGAAGGATGCCTGAGTTTTAAGAAGTTTCCCCGATGACACTTCTTGTCTCCTTTTGATCTTTTCTTCGTAGGCCTGTAAAGAACCTTCCAATTGCACCACTATCATAGAGTCTAAATCTTTAGATTCCTCAATAGCACACACCACAAAATCAAATTTAGGTGTTAAAGTGCGAAGGATCTTTTGTACCACACGGACATCTTCTATGTCCTCCCCATATCTTCTTAGTTGATTTACAACAACCTTCACTTTTGAAAAACAATCCGAGATGCATTCGGATTCTTTCATTTTTAAAACTTCAAAATCAGCCTTTAGAGTTTGAAGTTTTACCTTTTTCACCTTGTCAACTCCTTGAAGAGAATTTTGTAAAATCTCTCAAACTTCCTTTGAGGTGGTAGCATCTGCCACCTTCTCAAACATGACATCATCCAAACATTGGTGGATGAGCGTGAGGGCTTGTTGATCCTTCTTCCTTGTCTTTGCCAAGACCTCTTTTTCATTTTGGGGCAGAGCTTCCTCATTATCGGGTTTTGCATACCCTCTGTCTACGATTTCACATACATCCTGAGAACCAAGGATGGCTTTCATACGTAGACACCATTTCTCATAATTATCTTTTGTCGGACGGGGGTACTGAAAAGATAGCGGACCATTATTTGCCATGGCTCTGATACCACGTTGTTGGGATAAAATAAATAATCTCGCCCAGGAATAATATTCACAGTAAATAATAATAACACAAGAGAGTAACAATGACACCAAATATTTTAGCGGGATAAAATACAATATCCGAGTGTAGCAATATTACCACTATAATATTACAACTCAGTAGTGTCAAGAGACTACTACAACTTTGAAAGAAATAACACTCTTTATATAAAACACATCACTACAATATTACTATCCCTCACTAGTTATCTCATAGACAACAATTTGTGGATTACTCTCTCTAACTTCTATTGTTTCTCTCTTATTTTGGTGTGATTCAAATGAAGAAACGAGGCTGCTATTTATAGGAAAAGTTTCTTTGTTTTCAGTCAATCATGGCATGACAACTTGCAATTGCAAATTGGATTTGCAAATTGCATAGAAATGTAGGCGCCTACCTTTGCCTTTCTCTTATCCAATCACGTTTTTTTTTCTCTTTTTCATTTGTTATTTTTATTTAGGGACCCTACAAATGGGTGCCAGGTGGCTTGATGTTGGAAGATTTCTAATGGGAATTGGAGCGGGAGCTTTCCTTTATGTGGTAAATAGCTAAATTAAAAGCAGATTTCCATCATGGTGCAGGCTCCTATATACATTGCAGAAATCTCGCCACAAAGTATTCGACGGGCATGCACAGCTTCCATCACGGTAAATGAGAAACCATTGTTTTCTGCGACTTAAAACTGTTCAAATCTTGCATATTTAATACTGCTGTGCTTTTGCAGTTCATGGCATATTTTGGCATTTCAGTGATGTTTCTAATCGGGAATATCCTGACTTGGCGTCCCTAGGCTATAGTAGGTAGAGTGCTACCTATATTTATTGTTACTTCTCTATAATCATGTATGCACAGCCAGGCACAAAGAGAGAAGGGGCTGCAGAGAAGATAAGACTACATATTGTGCGGAGTAGAATAACTGATTTACTGTCTTTGCAATTACTTTTTCAGGAATTATACCCTCTTTGGTGCAGTTACTAGGCATATTTTTCATACCAGAGTCTCCGAGATGGTTGGTGAGTAGAGTATGAACTTCAAACAAAGATATATAGTGGAGCGTTCCCTGTCCAAAAAGGCAAAGTTTTTCATATTCCTTCTGTTTTCCCCTTTTATTGGAAGAAAGGGGGTGGGTTTTCTTGTTATGTAGTGTGTTTCTGGCATAGTTGGATTAATTTCCTTATTCACTGATTGAATTGTTTGCAGGCTGCGACTGGCCTGGACAAAGAAGTAGAAGCATCTCTAAAGTATCTGAGAGGAAAAAATGTTGATATTTCTTCAGAAGCAGCTGAAATTAAGGTGAGACTAGCTTCTGAATGTGTTACTGTTAGCTTAATGCTTACAATGAGCTTATTCTCTTTCCTGATATATTGCCATCTCTCATCTGTTATGTTGTTTGATTGAAATACCTTCTTCCCAGGAAAATGTGGAGTCCCTTCAAAAGCTCTCAGGATCAAGATATCTGGATATGTTCAATCGTGAATATGCTCATTCATTCATTCATTGTAAGCTTTAATATAAATATAATGCATAAGTACATTATTACACAATTATTGTATAATATTATATTTGTCATTATCATTGCTTATTGAGCTTCCTCTTTCTCTGTTGATTTAACTAGGTTGGATTCGGAGTAGTGAGCAGATGAGTGTTTGCTGTCAGCCCCAATCCTTCGGTTTCCGGATTGGAATAAGGAGTTCCATGTTCATACTGACGCATCACTCTATGCCATTGGATGTATGTTGGCGCAAGAAGGGCCGCTTGATCACTCCATCTACTTTTAAAGTATACGACTTTCCGCTTGGGAATTATACAACCACCGAACCTTCTTTATCATGATTCGACCCATACCTCAGACCCAAGATCGAGCACCAGAGCTGCTCATAACAACGTACCAAAAAGAAGAATGCGAGAAGTTCATATTCTCCATATTCTACTATAAACCAGGTAGTGAGGATGAAAAAAAGCATAAGCTACCTCGTTCGTGCTCCCGTCTTTCCCGCTGCCATCTTCGGTGGATGCGCCCCTTCACTTAAAGGCGGATAGGGCACTGAGCCAACCTTTTAGATTGAATAAAGTTACTAAGCTAGTCACCTCACCTCTCTTTCTTACCCGCCCTTATTAGTAGTAGGCAACCTTTCTTTCTCGCCTTTCTTCCAGCTTTTTCCAGATAAAGGTCTAATAGAGTTGCGCTTTCTTAGTACATTGCCTTTCATTACCAATCTGTCGTTTTACAGCACGAAGTTACCTGATGTTCGCTACTACTAATAAGGGCGGAGAGATGTTAACCTTTCGCTATTAGTAAGCACTCCCCTAGTTTTGACCTAATGAGCTTTCTTTACGTTGAGTTAATTNTTTTGTTGCAGTCTGGAGGAACTGATGCCATTGCATCTTTCGCTAGTTCAATTTTCAAAAAAGCTGGTTAGCACTTAGCACCTCATAGACTGTTTGTAAAAGGAGCTATACTTCTATAGCATTTGGCAGAAATAAAGAGATTATTGCTTTTGTATAGGTTCCTCGGTTAGTTTTGCAACTACAACAATGGGGACTTATCCAGGTTTTGACTCCTGAAATCACAATGTGACGCAGAACTGTTGCTAAAAAGTTCTCTCAAACTATTATCTATTCATACTTCTCTTCCAGCTTCCTTTTGCTGCTACAGGCATATTATTACTATCTACTGGAAGACGGCCAGTTCTGATGGTTAGAAATTAGTACCTCTACTAATGTGTTTACTTTAATGATCAATTGTGGATCAATATTGAAGCTAAATGAACTGGTTTCAGGTTGCTTCGGCTGGGACATGCTTAGGAAACTTCCTGTAGGTATAGGCTTTTTGTGTAAGGTACTCAACACACCCTCCCCTCCCATCCTCTATAGATTGAGAAATGACTACAATTTCACTTTCTAGACTTTTCACTTTCCACATTTTTCCAAGCAGGATTATGATCAAATGAGTCAGTTCTCTGCCACATTGGTGGTAACTGGCATACTGGTTTGTGCTTCACACTCTTTTCCACATTCAACATTTACTTCTTCCTTCATCCCTTTAATTTGCTAAACATGTTGTCCTCGTATCTGCAAAAACTTCCTTTTACCAATTTGTAGCTAAAACTGTCCAGTTAATCTTGATTACAACTATAATCAAGATTCATGTATTGCTAATCCATATGTTAACAGGTATTCAGTACTATATTTTACTCAATGGGTGTGGTTGGTGCAGCTATGGCAATTATTTCAGAGGTCAGCTATATAGCAATCTTCCTCCATATGTACATTACACAACTTATACCTTTTCAAGTACAATAGTTACTGACTAGTCATTACCAATTCAGATATTTCCTATGAACATAAAAGTATCAGCTGTAAGTCTTGCCTTCAGGTATGCATCTCTCCAGAAGAGCTCGAACCGTTGTCTTCTTTTTTTTCAAGGTCTGATAGTTCTGTATTTTACTAGGTGTGTTCTTCATGTTCACAATCTTTGCCGGGTTGATGATTCCATTTGTTGCAAAGATAGTACCAGAGACCAAAGGTCGGACGTTTGAAGAAATTCAGGCATCCATGACATTGCTCAACTGATATTGATTTCCTTTTCAAGAAAAAGGATTAGTTCAACCCTCAGATTGACCTGGTGTCAATTGACTTGAGCCTTGGGTGGTCTCAAGTTCGAAACTCATTGGGTGCAAACAATTTCTGAGGGCCATCGGACCGTGTAAAACCTGAATTAACCGTGGTGCACTTGCGGGAAACTCCTTGCCGAGGGCCTGTGCACCCCCGGGAATAGTCGGGGCTCGAAGAGACTCGGACACCCGGTGCAAANAATTAACCGTGGTGCACTTGCGGGAAACTCCTTGCCGAGGGCCTGTGCACCCCCGGGAATAGTCGGGGCTCGAAGAGACTCGGACACCCGATGCAAATCAAAAAAAAAAAAGGATTAGTTCATCCACATTTTATGATTTATCGTACTGATTCCATTTTGCTCAATCTTTACTAAATTCTTTAAAGAATCTGACTCCAGACAAGCTTTTACTAATTGAATATTCTTTCCAAATATAAGTGATCAGTGTAGCAAGCAAGCAAGCCGCCACCGAATATAATGATAAATTCTTTCTTATTGAATTTTGAAGCCTTAAAATTGGATATAACTTTACAGCCATAATTTATTTTATTTTATTTTTTCCAGCGAGAGGCTAGTTGGACAAGATACCATTTAGCCTAGGAGCTAAGCTTTTATCAAGTGACCTTTATCTCAAAATGTTGCTTGCCTCCATTTTATCCTCCAAAATAGAGTAAAATTGCTTTAATCATTATTTCATTTTTTACTCCAAAAAAGAATATTTTATTTTATATTCTTCTCTCTTTTCAATATTATATTATTATCTTCTATTTAAATTTTATTTTTTTATTTCTATTAAAGAAATTTTATCTTTTTTTGTGTGGCTATTTTACACATTCATCACATGTAATTTAATATAAAATTATTTTATATCATAAATTTTTAAATAATATAATTTGTAAGCAAATATTATAGATTATATATATTAATGGATAATTCAAATAAAAGAGAATCATTGAGATACAAGATAATTAAATACATATTGCATTATGATAAAATTCAGATTAAATACTGCATAAGTATTCAACTTCCACTTCTAGTATGCTCCCATAAATTATCTATAAATGCATTGTAAAGTACAATTATATGCCAAATAATAAATGCACGAAAATTAATTTTTCAAATTTATACGTCAAAGTTAAGATATAAAATTATTATTATAAAGATATTACATAAACATAATTAAGTATATTAATAAAAAGAAATAAATTAGAAGAATTAAATAATAAAAATAATAATAAGTAAGGATGAATAGTGACAGGGGAAATGAATAATTTGGAGTGACACAATTCATCCTCCATTTTGCAGTCAAAAATAAATCACTGAAAAAACAAAGGAAAAAGACAAGGGGTGACTCACCAGCCACAAGATATCCCCAGCCTTCTTAGAAATAAAAATGAAATTCCAACTAACAACTTTTTTTAGTGTTGGTGGTCCCCAATTATTTATTTAAGTTGTCAATAAAAGATTATATGTGTCTTTTTATTTTCAAGGGTAAAGGTAATAAGTATTTTGATTTATTTCACAGTATCTTGTGATAACTTTGAAATAATAAAATGCAAAAATTTGGCACCTAAAATATCTATCTATATTTATATCTATATTTATCTATCTATATCTATATCTATATCTATATTTATATTTTACACTAAATATTGAGAGACAAAAATATCCCTGTAATATTGATAGACTTTTATGCTCTTAAAAGATTAAAATATTTGTTAACAAACCAAGTTAAAAATGGATGTAATTGTAAATTTCAAAACATTATCCACGGACAAACTTCTTATTCGATTTAAACTACACATGAATATAAAATTCTAATTCATTTTGGACTACTATTTTACTCGCCGCCAATATGCATATGGTTCAAAGGATATCATTATTCTTTATGGATAGCAATATATGCATGCTAGATGCTTGATTTTTTGGTTCTCCAATTTGAATGAAAAACTTATGCTTACTCATATGCTTTATACTTTTACGTTTAATAGGTATTTATTAAATGTTGAAACTATAGTAAAATATATTAAATTAAAAGTTTTCGTAAAACAATATATTACGTTGATCGATTTTTATGTCTTTTCAAAGCTAAGTTCCCTCTAAAAACAATTCCATGTTGGATAAAATCATTATCTTATAAAAAGTTTATCCAATATTTACGACTTTAAATCAACTAAAAACTATCCTTTAATTACTTATGTGAAATTAGAAACCTAAGATTAAATATACTAAACTTTCCTCTAGGTAAACGTAGAGTACATACAATCCAATTCAGTGGAAGTTAAATCAATTTTATATAGTCAAATATTTTTAAAAAAACTGAAATTAAATTTATTAGGAGTAGTTACAAAATTGAAGCAAAATAATATCTTTATAAGTTCGATTTTAAAGTGATTTTACTACTTTTAACATAACTCTCATAATGTTTAATTCCATTTTTTCTCAATATTGTGTCAAAATTTTATTAATGTTATAAATAATATTTTATTTATGGTGAATGTCTATATTTAGAGAGATCTTAGGGTTTGTTACTTGGTGGCTAAGTAAAATTATGATATCATTATTATGATAGCAGTATGTGATAAGTCTGAAAGAAGATAAAATTATTACCGTAAAGGTATCAATGGATGTGTACGTGGTAATAGACGAAATTATAATCATTATCATTGTGATAATGAGAACAATAAGAATTCTCAAAATAATCCTTCACTTTGTGAAAGTAATATTTGTCATCGATTTGACATGAGATTTTGTAAAGCACATATAGATGATTATGGTCCATTTATGATGTGAATGTGGCAACATGTGATTTATGAATATATATTCATGCTTGGAAGAATATGAACGTGCTAGTGGTAGTGAATATACCACACTCACCCCTAGAATGAGGTTTGAGGGAAAATAAGAAAATAATATCATTATTATGGCGTGAATGGTCATTGATCACGTACCTATTGTGATTAGCCAAAATATTATGGCAATGCGATTATTACATGGCAAAAGTAATAGAAGCAACATATCTTGCCTATAATGATTTTGACCATGGCCATAATAGTATAACTTTCTCTTTAAAAGACATATTCACCATATGGATGTTGATAAATATGTGGTCGTACCAAATTAATTGAGAGCTTTGGAAGAGCCAATTATTACTATTTTGGAGAAATATAATTGATTATCATGTCAATTTATTGTGTTGTAGTAAGTCCAAAGAAACTTATTGACTTTTTAAAGTATTCGCGAAAGCGGTTGGTTATATTAAGACTATAAATAAAGGAAAGATTTAATATCTTCTATTACTACAACTTGTAATATGTATGTAAAAAGTTACCCGCTTTATTCTCCTGTTTGTACTATACAAACAAAAGAATGCCACAATAAAGTAGAAGTTTATTGATATAAAAACTCATATCATAATAAACTTGAGTTTATTGATAATTGCACACGTCATGGTGTAAATCTGAAGTTTATCAATGTTGATAATTTATTCAGTTGGCATAATTGGTTTAGCCATATCAATTTAAGTATGATGTGCAAAAATTAAAGAGAATTCATGTGGGTAAATATTAAAGAACTAGAAAGTTCTTTACGAATTCTCTTATGTTACTTGTTCTCATTAATTAATAAACCAACTAAAATTGGAATTGAATTCCATGAATGCTGAAAATATCAAAAGTGAATATGGGCTCATTCACCTGCCATGTATACCACATAAGATGCATTTATGAGATGGTTACACGTGCAATTATTATCAACCCGCAACATGGTGTTTTGCGAGGTAACTTGCTCAATAATTTAATTTCGAGCATAATTTCCAGATTTTCTATTCAAGAAGTTCATCTTGATAAGTTGGTTTACATCATAGTTGGTTTAGCAAAATAATTTAGTGAGTGCCTCCACTTAATAGGTAAACTATTGCTTATGAGAACAAAGTTATATATATCAGTTTGATATACGTTATATACGAAAGTATATTATTTTCTCCCCTCACAAGCGGTTCAGGGTCAGGAACCAAATAATTCCATCTTATTATTATTGATGTGCGGTGTATATTTTGATTAACACCATAACGCACAAAGATGGGTTCTCAAAGTTGAGGAAACAAGTTAGTTTTTCTAACATGAAGGGGAGACATGATAAACATTTGAGAAAAAGTTACGTGGAATGAATTATCATTTGTATATTTAGATCCTCGAATATGATAATATGAACTTGAAGTTCATAAAAAGATAATTCATTTGCAATATACTGCAAAGCATGTCAGATGCATTTGTTGACCCAAAGAAAGTAATTGTATTCTCATTGGAAATGCCCATATTAAGTCCTAGAAGGACAAAGTCTATAGTACGCTTAAAGCGTATAGACAAATCGGTTTCAAATAAATTTCTTGATAAAAAAGATGAGCAAATGATCAAAATGATCATAATAAAGGAGGTAAGTGATCTAGAAGATCACATGATATAACATTTCATAAAATCTCAGGAGAGACAGGTATCTGAATAAATGAATGAAGAGATCTCTATGTTATGTCTATATGAAAATAAGGAGGTTGGAACCGATAAAATGTTTGTCGATGACATCTATAATAGCGCTAAATATATATATAAGGATCTTAAGTCTAGAGAAACAATTCAAGTAGAATTGGTTTCATATGAAAGATATGTTGTTTTGGACATGCAATTCAAACACCTGAAAGTATAAAGTCAATAGCGTGTGCAATCACTTTTATTTATTTTATATGTCTAGCATGACATGAAAAGTTGATATGCATTTAAAGTCTATTTAAATGGCTTATTTGACTATACTTATATGACAATCCCCAAAGGATTTAAATTGCTTAAAGCATATACAATTCTTGATCTTGAAGTACCACATCCTTAGCGCAATTTGTGCACAAATGTATCTTGCTATAATTATAAGCATGATAATGTGATAGCGAGAATTTTCAAGGTGCAACATATTCATTGGAGTTAATATGGGTGATTTATTCATCAAATCTCTGTCGACGTCAACCTTCAAGAAGCTAGTGCACAAGATTGGGATACGAAGGCTGAAGGATGTGAATTGATGCTCTCATCAGGAGGAGTTAATACGCGT